CTTCTTAGAGAGAAGGAAGCGCATCCATACTAAGCACACGACTCCGAACATGATCAAACTCCACATTCAAACCTTCCAAAAACTTGAAGACCCGCACTTGTTCAACAAATTTCCGGTAACCAGTAGAATCTAGGGAACAGATAGGCTTGTAGTCCTGAAGATGATCAAATGGCTTCCACCCATTGCTAAGGAAAGTAAAATACTGGAGAATAGTCATCTCACCCTGAACGGACCGGTCAATAGAGCGTCACAACTCAAAAGTCTGTGAGAAATTACCTTTACGGGAATACATAGTGGCCATGGCCTCCCAAATATCCTGTGTTGTGTCCGTAGACAAGTATCCCTCACCGATCTCCGAAACCATAGTGTATCAACCAACTCGTGATGAATTGGTAATCTCTCACTAATCATAACCTGTATCGGTGATACTAGGAGCCTGAACACGCCCATCAACATATCTCATCTTCCCTTTGCTCTTCAAAAATATAGTCATACTCTGCGACCATGCTAGATAATTCTGACCATTAAAGAGAGGTGGTGATTTTCTAGCTAGGGTGGAGAGAATCGGTCATAGAAGTAGTCAAAACAGGACTCGCATCCTGTGTAGCAAGCTGTGAAGTAGTAGACTCACTAGTCAATTCTGCCATAAAGACGACGCGACGAAACCCTCACAAACAAACCCAGAGTGAATCACAAACCCAGAAGATGAAAGAATATAATAATGAATTTAAAATAAATTTAAGAGAACATTGTTTTTTCTTCTCTTTTTTTTTTTTGTTTTTTTTCGCTTTTTTTTTTTTTTGTTTAGTTTTTCTTTTATAAGAAGACAATTAGAGAGAGAGATTAAGAAGAGAAGAAGACAGACAGAGAGAGAGAGACTAAGAAAAAAGGTTACATATTACGAAGACAGAGAGAGATGAAGACGAAAGAGTTACATGTAGAGACCGAGAAAGAGATATCGACGAAGACAGACCACAGGGCTCCAAGCTAACCGACAAACCAGGGCTGGAGCAGGAAGGCTTCGACGAGCCCTACGGTGCTAGTAAAGCCCTAAGGGTTACGCCTGGGCCTTCGACGGGAGTTATGACTCCGACTAGGGCTATCGAAACCCTAAGTGGCTTCGATTGGGGCTGTCAGAACCGTAGGTGGCTTCGTCTGGGGCCGTCGGGCTGGGGTGGTGGTGCTGTGTTGATGCTGTGGTGATACGGCTAGGGTTTTTTTTTTTTTTTAATTTTTATTTTAGAGTTGCAACTCACTTAAAGGCAATTATGTGGATTCTGAGGTACTTGAAATATTCTCCAAGAAAGGGTCTTTATTTCTCAAAGCATGGCCATCTCAGTGTGGAGGCATATACAGATGCTGATTGGGCTGGCTCAGTAACTGATAGAAAATCCACCTCTGGTTATTATACCTTCATTGGAGGAAATCTAGTTACTTGGAGAAGTAAGATACAAAATGATGTTGCGCGATCTAGTGCAGAGGCTAAATTTAGAGCTATGGCTCAAGGTGTGTGTGAGCTTTTATGGATTAGATTATTATTGCGGGATTTGGGGATTCATCCGACAGATTCTATGAGGCCATACTGTGACAATAAGGCCGCCATTAATATAGCCGACAATCTGGTTCAGCATGATCGAACCAAGCATGTAGAGATTGGTTGGCATTTTATCAAGGAAAAGCTTACTAGTGGCACTATATGTACGCCTTTCGTGCGGTCTGGGGATCAAATGGCTGATGTTCTTACCAAAGGATTAGGGATTAAACCCTTCCGTGACATTCTCGACAAGCTGGGCATGAGAGATATCTTCGCACCAGCTTGAGGAGGAGTGTTAGAATGTATTAGGATATTTCCTATTTTATTCTCGTTCAGTCTCTTTATTTGCTGTAATGGACCTTAATTTAGGCCTTAACTTATGTTTATGATTTAATATAAAAGGGTATGAGAAACCACTCATACCCTAACTTTTTCTCCTCTAAAAAATAACATGTATAACCCGAGCCGGCCGACTTAATTATATATATAGTCAGTTATTTTTCCTTGGTAAAATTAATTCATCTTTTCCAAGACATATTTCACTCTTTTTATGTACATACACCTTTAATTGTCGTCAGATCAATTGACTCTTCACTTCTCAAGACATATCTTCCCAAACAAAGACTTCCCCTTTCCAATAATCTGATCCTTTCGTGTCTCTCTCTTTCTCACTCTTTAAATTTTTCCTTCCCAAGACAAGTAGATATGTAACCTTTCCATCTTCTGTCTTCTCTTTCATCCCACTCTCATCTCTCTCAAACCTCTCTTACCTTTTGTCTCTCGCTAAATTTTCGTTTCCCAACACAAACAAATACCTGACCCTACCCTTCTACCTTTTTCTCTATATTCCACACACACACACTCTCTCTCTCTCTCACCTCTCTCACCCACTCTCATCTCCATCTAGCTTTTCTCTCAACCCTCTTCTCTCTCTCTCTCTCTCTCTCTCTCTCTCTCTCTCTCTCACATCAGCTCCCTTGCCTACCTCCCTCCCACACTATTTGCACCTCTCCTCTCTTTGCGACCGTGGTGACGACGTGAGATCATGGAAGAGGTGATGGCTTGAGATTGACTACGCTAAAATTGCAATGCTGATAATGGTGATTGTGATGGTGGTGTTGTTGAGATCTATTTTGTTTCTTCCTTTTCTCTTGAAACCCTCTGGTTTCCTTCCCTAGAAACCCTCATCCTCCTCCCTCCCTTGCCTAGAAACCCTTTCTTCTTCCTCACACCCTTTATTTTGAGATAATGGGACTTCATTACAGCATCGACTGAAGTTTCTACCACCTGAAACGCATGGTTTTGAAGCAATTTTTGGATGGCATCAGATGAAAAGTTTGCCAAAGCTAAGGTGTTGGTTCGAATGTCAGTGATTATCAAAACCGATCCGATCCGACCCATGTACAACCCTACCGCTGGGTATTGACGTAGCATGCCAGCAGGTGCTTTGAGAATGAAACCTCTCTTAATGCTTAGTTGTTTTATATGTTTTTGTAAAGTAATCTCATAAGTTGCAAAAAAAAATTCTAAGTGTGAATCTAACATATGTAAATATGTTAAAAATCAATGTATAAAATTGATTGTATTATTGATTGATGTTTCTGATGTTGTTGTGTGTATTACAAATGGTGAGTGGCTCATTATATAGGAGAGGGTGAGTGTAGTAGGTGAGGAGTAGGTGAGGAGTAGGTGGTGGTAGGTGATGGTAAATTGGTGGTAGGTGATGGTAAATTTTAACAGCCCCCCGCAAACTCAAGGAGGATAGAAACTAACCAACTTGAGTTTGGAGAGGGTAACAAAACAAGAAAATACATAAAAAGAAAAGAGAATAGGAGACACTGTAGGGTCGTGTCAGACCGTTGGTGAAGGCACTGAATGGTGGTGTCATAACGTGGTAGAGGACACTGGATGGTGGTGTCATAACGTTGTAGAGGACACTGTATGGTGGTGTCATAACGTTGTAGAGGACACTGTATGCTAACCGGAATCAATGTCGGGACAGTTTATGGGGTCATGTCGGACCGTTGAAAAAAGCTAGCCGGAATCAAATGTCGGGACAGTTTATAGGGTCATGTCGGACCGTTGGAGATGCTAACCGGAATCAAATGTCGGGACAGTTTATGGGGTCATGTCGGACCGTTGTAAAAGTTGCACCCTCAAAAGGTGTGCCCAATTTTGTCAAAAGGCGTGCCATCAAAAGGCGTGCCCAATTCATCAAAAGGTATGCCAGACATGATGGCGAGGCACGTGAGCGCCTTGGCTTGCGCGCCCGGTTTGTCGTCTGGCGTCAAGAGACGCGCGATGCGCGTGGCTGCCTTGGCTATTTAACCAAGACGAAGGCTGAGGCTGAGGCAGAAAAACCTGCGAAAAACCTCTGAAAAACTCGTCGTTGTGCTGAGAGAGATAGTCTGTAACACTCTGTTGCCCAGAAAATGGCCTCGTCTTCCCGTGGACTGCTCACCCTCTTCCCGACCTCAACGAGTCAACAAGAGAGAGAACTGGTGCGGTGGCACTGGAACCTCAACCAAGCGCCCCGGAGTTTGCTCCGTTGAACTTTCCGATGCGGTCTGTGGAGCAAAGAATGGCAGTGCAGTCGGATGTGGAGGCGAATCAATATACTTTGAAGTCATGTGTGGAAACCATGACGGCGGTCACAAACTTGTCGCACCGGCTGCAGAGCAGGACAAATGAGGTGCAGCAGTTAAACTCCCAGCTGGCTCTGCTCCAACGCATGTATAAGGATGCGCGAGCAGAGATAAGTGTGCTAAAGGCCAGAAAACAAGGAGCTGAAGCGGAAGGCCACCGTGATGTTCCGATTTGGAGGCCCGCCATATGCTGCAGTGGAGGAGACCTCCTGATGATGAACCTAAGAGTGGGCAGTGGGATATTGATAACTGTATTATCTTGGGCTGGATGTTTAACTCTATGGAAGATCAGATTTATCACATGTTCATGTATTGTGACACAGTTTCTCATATGTGGAAGGCTTTTACTCCAATGTATGCTCATGCTCACAATGATGCTCACATCTTTAAGGTTTATCAGGACATCTCTCATGCTTCTCAAATAGATTTGGGATTTTCAATTGCAAAGTTCTCATACCAAATATATTATCAAATTATATAGAAAATAAAACCTGAAATAACGTAATTTGTTTGGTTTTGAAACCAAACCAAAACATATATGGAGAAGCAAAAAACTTATGAATAGATTGTATAAATCTGAAACAGAAAACAATTTGATTGAGACTTGTGTTAGACACAATGTCCTTAAGACAAATTCGTCCCCCACTATGGTACTTACGAGTTTTATTGAACATTCGTCTCCTAGGATAAAACAATCAAACCTTACAAAAGCAATACTACCACTGCAAATCTGGCGAACCTTATTGTACAAAATTCTTTTATAGAAAAGGACAAAGTGCCAAAAGGAAAGAAAAAAATAATAAAATAAAGAAAGTGTCATAAAAGGGATCAAAGAGCACATGGGTTCTGAGGTTGTTCATAATAATAATAAGAATAAAAGGAATTAGTGGAGAGAGGGTAATTAGGATTATAACTTGCTTTTGCTAGTGGGAGGTCCCACCAGCACTATGCACTTCAACTTTTCTTCATCCTCAAGTACAGATCGGTCATCAACAATCTTGCATAGGAGAGCACCAACAAACGAGTCACCGGCACCAGTTGTATCCACTGCTTTGACAGGGAATCCATCCACACATCCACGGAAATTCTTAGTGTAATATTTGCAACCCTTGATCACCTCTGCCTTGTCCCAGATGCTCATGATTTGTTCACACGCCTCCTTCTCTGACGGCCACAGTGGCAGCCGGAGGTTGGGATCATAAGAGAGCAAGGCACCGGCATCCTTTGCCACCTCCATTGCCTTCAAATGAGCCGATCTGCAAGGCTCCACGATCAAGCTTATCGATCCGTAATGGAAAATTTTAGCCTTTCTGATAAGCTCGAGGTTGAGTTCATCGGGAGTCAAGAGCATGTCGGCGCTAGGGTTCTGGTAAAACATGAACGCGCGTTCTCCGTCGGCTTTCAAGGTCACGAAGGCGAGGGCAGTCCTGGCGCCCTTGTCGAAGAGGATGCCGTCGCCGGAGACGCCGTTCTCCTTCAAGATACCGGCCAACATGTGGCCGAACTCGTTGTCGCCGAGTTTTCCGACGAACGACGACTTCCCTCCGAGTCTGGTAATGGCGATCGCCACGTTCCCCGGAGCTCCGCCGGGAGCCTTGAGGAATCCCGGCGCCTCGGCCAACGACACTCCAGACACCGTCTGCACGAAGTCGATCAGCATCTCCCCGAAGCACACGATCAGACTCCCTGACGACGATACTCCATTGTTGGGCGACATGATCAATCAATCAATGTATATATATATACACAGGACTATATATAGAGAGAGAATATATATAGAGAGAGAAAACAGAGAGAAGAGAGAGAAGTGTGGGAAGGTGAGAGGAGAGAGGAGGTGGTCGAATATCGTGGTCGGCGGAGGGAGATCATCGCTGGAAAGAGAAGGTATGTGTAGAAAATAAACGGAATAGGTTGAGGTCCGGCGGACGGCTAAGGTGAGGTTGCCGCCCGCCGGTGAAGCGAAAATATTAGGTTCTAAACCTGCTCTGATACCATGTTAAAAATCAATGTATAAAATTGATTGTATTATTGATTGATGTTTCTAATGTTGTTGTGTGTATTACAAATGGTGAGTGGCTCATTATATAGGAGAGGGTGAGTGTAGTAGGTGAGGAGTAGGTGAGGAGTAGGTGGTGGTAGGTGATGGTAAATTGGTGGTAGGTGATGGTAAATTTTAACAAAATATGTATATACAAAAGAATAACAGACAATTTTGTGAGGTGCGTGAATTTTCAGACAGCCCAACCCTTGACAGCCATGGCCAAATACATTCAGTTCACATGATTTATATTCTTAGTTCCCAAATCACATCCAAGACAAACTTCAATTCCTTGTGCAACCTCACGATATTTATTCATAAAGAATTTACATATTTGTTCGCAACATGAGCTTGAGACATTTATTCATGCTTGCATATTTATAGATCACAACAATGTATTATACTGTCAAGATATAAAGTTTCAGTGTGCCAATATTCCAGTAAATAGATGGTTTTTTTTCATGGTGAATCAAGAAAGAACAGTACATATCCCTATAGGTCCTGTGTTCTGTTGTAGTGTCTTAAGTTGAATGCTTATTGTGTGTATAAGAATCTTAAAGTATTCATAGTGTGGTCTAACATTTTATAAGTGTGATTTGAAAGTTCAAGTGTGAAGTAGTGATTGTTGGGTTCTGTTCCATGTGAATGGAAGACATGAAATAATTCAAAGAAAGCTGCAAATTGAAGAAAAGAGGATACAAAATGCAGCTGGAGATTTTGTGCTACATGAGTTAGCCAAGCTACTATGTGTAGAGTGGCTGTGTAGGTGGCTGCCATGAATTCTGTAGGTGGCTTGTTGGTAGGCAAGTGCTGACTTTAGGCTCCCCCATTTGTGTATAAATATGGGATGAGTTTAGTGTAGCAAAGTGTGAGGAAACCAAGGAAGAGAAAATGGGAGAGAGAGAGAGATTGGCCCTCTGTGCCCTCTGTGTGAGACAGGGTGAAAATGGGAGAGAGAGAGATTGGCCCTCTGTGCCCTCTGTGTGAGACAGGGTGCTCCCTCTGTGTGAGGGGCAGCTGTGTGGGAGTGGAGTTGAGGTTGAGAATGTTCCCTCCTCTTTTGTTGTAATTTTTCCGTATTCTCTCCATATTTAGTGAAATTCGATTACTCTCCTGTGGACGTAGGCATTGAGCCGAACCACGTTTAATAGTCTTTTTTGTGTGCGTAGGTTGTGCATGGAAGTTTACTCTAGACATCCCGGGCAAGATCCTCAATCCCAACAAGTGGTATTAGAGCTTAAGGGAGTCAGTTTGAGAAAAAAGTTTTTCCTATAACTAAAATTTTCAAGTTTGTCGAAATCGACTTCTAAGCACACCAGAAGCTTCATCTCGACAAGAGAAGTCCAAACCTAGAAAGATCAGCCCAAGAAAAGACCAGAGTGGCCCTCACGCACCACCTGAAGATGGCGAGTGAGGCCCACTCACACACCACACTCGCGTTTGGAAATTGAAGACAGTTTGCCAAATGTATTAAATATATAGTAGAGAAGAATTACTCACAAGAGTGAGAATGGCACAATGGTTAAGGCATTATGGTGGGTGCTTGGTCAAGAGTTCAAACCTCCCCAGGCGACGTCTCAGAGATTGATGTTTTAGGAAGCGGATCCCACATAGGTGTTCGTGGGCAATGACATCAGCGCTGATGCGGTGATGATGTCAGTGGATGAAATATTCTTGGAGAAACAGAATATTCCTTGGAGTTCTGGAAATTATAAAAGGGCTCAGACTTTTCCAGAAATTGCACTATAGCCCAGTCGGCAATGATGTCAACGGATGCAATATTCTTGGAGAAACAGAATATTCCTTGGAGTTCTGGAAATTATAGGAGGGCTCAGACTTTTCTAGAAATTGCACTATAGCCCAATCTTTGGTGAGTTTTTCCAACGAGGCCCCCAAATGAGCAGCGAAGGTTAGTACTAGGTAAATGGACCGTTCCGGACACAATCACAGGGTCATAATGGTGATATTCTAAACGGTTGAAGATAGCCAAAAGAGAGTTTGACATCTTCAATATTTGACTGATATTCAACCACAAGGTCAGAATATAGGACAAGATTTTAGGAATTTTTATATTTTTAGTATTAATATTTTAGAATTAATATTTCATTTAAAATATTGTAATTTAGTATAAATATTTTAGAATTATTAGATTTCTTAATTTGTTTTGATTTCGTTTTCCTAATTTCTTAAGTTTCTTGTATTCCAAGAATAAGACTAGTTTATTATTTCCTAATTTTAGATATCTTGGTGTCCAAGTTTACTTGGTTTCCAAGGCTTAGTTTATTATAAATAGCTATGCAAACCTTATGGCAAAAAACAACTTTTATGCAATATAATTCAGTTTCTTCAGAACTTCCTCTTCCTTGTGGATTCAAGGTTTTATTTTCTCATAGATTTGAGAGGCTTTTTCATCTACTAGAACGATATCTAGTCTCCTGTATATTCCGCTACGTCAAGTGGTATCAGAGCAAGGTTTTGCTTGGCTCGATGTCATTCATTGAAGGAGGAATCACAAGCTCTATTGACGATGATCGTAGAGAAAGATCTAATAGGATTCTAGTCAAGGGACTTACCCAAGGCCAACCTGTTAGTCATAACGTTAATAGGAACCGCACTATGGGATTTGCCTAAGGCCATCCTATTAACTACAATGTCTTGAGACGATCTTCTCGTTATCAATAGGATAGTTAGGACGAATCTGAGGATGAGTTATTCAAGGATTATGGTGAATATCAGTCGGTAACGCGACAACGAAGATTCAATGATGTGTTCAATAGGAATAATCGCATCAATCTTGACTTTTTAGATTATCAGGTACAACTAGAAATTTCCTATTTTAATGCTTCTTGTCATGCCAAGGATTTTATTTATTGGTTTTGCAAAGTTGACAAATTCCTTAAGTGTATGGAAATCTCTAAAGAAAAGCAAGCCAAATATGTAGAACGCAAGTTATAAGGTTATGTTTCTACATGGTGGAAACAATTGCAGTATGATCAAAGGTAACAATACAAACAACCCATTAGAATGTGGCATAAGATGAAGAAGTCGATGATTTCCACATTCTTTCAATCAAATCATGGACAAATGTTGTATCAACAATATCAAAGAAAGCTTGAATCAAAACAATTGTTCCAAGGTAATTTTGATTCACAATATTCTTTGCAATTCAATAATTATTATGCAATTGTGGATATAGATTATTCAAAGAACATGACTATGGTTCTGTCAATTTTGGGTCAATCAAGTCTTGTAGGTCAACAAACTTATCACTCAACCATGCATTATGGTTTTGTCTGCTCAATCAAGTCTTGTAGGTCAACAAATTTATCACTCAACCACGCATTGAAGAAGAAAGGATTTTGAGTATTTCAATGTTTGAAAATTTTGAAGACCCACACAAACATTCAATTGAAGTAGAAAATCAAGTTGATTTCAACAACGGTGAAGACGTTGAAATTGATCAAGGAAAGGTCACTAAAATTACTTTGATCAAGAAGTTTGAAGAAGACGATGATGAAGAGGTGAAGCAAGAGAAAATCATTGAAGTTAGCCAAGAGCTTCTAATGACGGAACTATCATCTCTTGATTATTATGATTGTTATGAGATCGCAAAAGAAGGAGATCAAGTTGAAGTCAATGAAAAAGAAGAAATAAAAGATGGGGTAATAAAGTCAACATGTGCACCAGAGAAGTGGATTGAGGACGCAATTGATGTTCCAAGGTTGATAATTGAATGTCCAACTGAATCTAAGACAACAAAGTCCAGAGAGTATCCAACATCAACATAAAATACACTTTGTTGATTTTCTTGGTGTAGAGCAATTTAATTTGATTTTCAATGCTTGTCTAATTGATTTTGTCAACCAGTTGAAACATATAGATAACTTTCAGAAAGAAAACTTTTCTGCATACAACTTTTAGAAGAGAGGGAAGCAACTGAAGTATTCAAAATATCTCTTATTTGGCATGGAAGTTGGTAGATCTCCAGTTGGAACTCGAGAAGTTCTTTTAAAGAATAGGAGTCTGATGTAGGACAAAGTTTAGGAATTTTTATATTTTTAGTTTTAATATTTTTGATATATTATTTGATTAGGATTGTTGTCATTTAATATAAAATATTTTACAATTATTAGGTTTCTTAATTTGTTTTGATTTTGTTTTTCTAATTTGTTAGGTTTCTTGTTTTCCAAGAATTAGATTTGTTTATCGTTTTTTAATTTTATACATTACTTAGTGACCAAGAATAATTGGTCTCCAAGATTTAGATTATTATAAATAGGTATGTGAACCTTGTGGCAAGGACAACTTTTATGCAATATAATTCAATTTCTTCAAAATTTTCTCTTCCTTGTAGATTCAAGGTTTTATTTTCTCGTGGATTCGAGAGCCCTTTTCGTTTACTAGAACGATATCTAGTCCCTCGTGTATTCCACTGCGTAAAGAGATATTTTGAGTACTTCAATTGCTTGCCCCTCTTCCAAAAGTTAAATGTAGAAGTTTTCTTTCTGAAAGTTCTCCGTATGCTTCAATTGGTTGACAAGATCAATTAGACAAGTATTGAAAATCAAATTAAATTGCTCCACACCAAGAAAATCAACAAAGTACATTTTATGCTGATGTTGGATACTCTCTGGACTTTGCTCTGTCTTAGATTCGATTGGACATTCAATTATCAACCTTGGAACATCAATTGCATTATCAATCAACTTCTCTGATGCACAAGTTAACTTTATTACCTTATCTTTTATTTCTTCTTCTTCATTGAGTTCAACTTGATTTCCTTCTTTTGCGATCTCATAGCCATCATAATAATCAAGAAATGATAGTTCCGTCATTAGAAGCTCTTTATTAACTTCAATGCTTTTCTCTTGCTTCATCTCTTCATCATCGTTTTCTTCAAACTTCTTGATCAAAGTAATTTCAATGATCCCTCCTTCATTAAT